GAGCAGGGAGCCCGATGCGGGACTCGATCCCGGGACTCCAGGATCATGACCTGAGCCGAAGGCAGTCGCTTAACCAACTGAGCCACCCAGGCGCCCGTTAAGCATCCTTTTTTATGTTCCATTTCAGAGCACAGTACACCAAACACTCTGTCTTTAAACCTTGCTTTCGGTCACCACTCAGACCCCATCTGGTCAAGCTTTCACAGCCACTGTGCTGCTGAGACTGTCCAGGGACCTCCCATTGGTCAGTCCAGTGATTGGCTTCCTCTTCTCCCCGCTCCTGTCACCAGGATGTGGCTCAGTTGACTGCTCCCTCTTTCTTGAAAGACTGATTCTCTTTCCCTTCTCTACCCAGCTTGTGCCCTGGGCTCTGCATCCCGTGTCCACGTGTCTCTGCATCTCTGCTAGGATGTCTAACAGGTGTCTCCCCCTTAATTTGTCCAAAAATGGTCTTGACCTTTTCTGAAGGTCCTGTACCTCTTGATTAAGGGCCATCTTGTACTTCCTGGGGCTTAGATACACATCTCGGCATGAACATAAAATATGTAAGAAATTACATTATTTGCAAGTGTTGATAAGATAAGAAAAAGTTAAATGTTTACTTAAAATGACAGGAAGAATACAGTTTCTAAAATTCTTTAGAAGACCACACCCTTCCCGATCTGCCTTCCTCTCCTGCTGGTCCTCCCTCACCCTGCTGCAGCCATGCTGGCCTCTTCCCCTTTCCTGGGCCCAGGCTTGCTCCTGCCTCAGGGCCCTCCCAGGGCCTGTCCCTCTGCCTGGAACTGTCTGGCCCCTCAGATGCAGGGGGCAAATACCCTCCTTCGCCCAGGTCCTCGATCTGATACCGCCTTCTCAAGGGAGCCTCTTGGCCCCCTCCCCCCCACCTCTGCTGCCTGCCCTGCATGTTCCCTTCTGCTCCTTCCCCTTCCAGATCTGGGTCCTGATGACAGCAGGCTCCAAGGGGAGAGCAGGTGGGAGGTGGCATATCTGTTAGGATGGCTATCAGGAAAAGACAAGAGAGAAGTGTTGGTGAGGAAGGGGAGAGCAGGGTACCCTTGTACACTGTTGGCAGGAATGTAAATGGGTGTAGCCATTTTGGAAAACAGCATGGAGGTTCCTCAAAAAATTAAAAATAGAACTACCATTGATTCAGCAACCACACTTCTGGATCTATATCCACAGGAAATGAAATCAGTATCTTAAAGCAATATCTGCACTCCCATGTGCATTATTGGTTCATTATTCATAACAGCCAAGGTATGGAAACAACCTAAATGTCGACAGAAGAATGGGTAAAGAAAATTTGATATATTTGTATACAATGAAATATTATTTGACCATAAAAATGAAGGAAATCCTACTATTTACGACAACCTGGATGAACCTGGAGAACATTATGCTAAGTGAAATAAGCCAGAGAAAGACAAATATTATGTGATCTTGCGGATATGTAGAACCTAAAAACTTCAAACTCCTGGAACCATAGAGTAGTTTGGTGATTACGAGGGGCTGGGAAGTGGGGAAAATTGGGGAGATGTTGGTCAAAGGTACAACCTACCATTTGTAAAATGAACAGTGTGGGTATATAATGTAAAGAACAGTGACTGTAGTTAATCATACCATATTATATACTTGAAATTTGCCTAGAGAGCACATCTTAAGTGTTCTCACCACACACATGTACACAGAATGGTAATTGTGAGGTGATGGATGTAAGTTGAGTGTGATAATTATTTCACAGTGTATACATATTTCGAATGATCACACTGTATACCTAGATATACACAATTTTTTTTTTTTTTAAGATTTTATTTATTCATGAGAGACAGAGAGAGAGAGAAGCAGAGGGAGAAGTAGGCTCCCAAGGAGCAGGGAGCCCGATGCGGGACTCGATCCCAGGACCCTGGGATCATGACCTGAGCCGAAGGCAGACGCTTAACC